CTCCCGGCCCCGCTGTGCTGTCTGGGCCCTGCCAGGGCCCCAGGGGCAGGACCCCTCACCTGGGTGGTGCCCCCAGGGGCCCCCATTCTTGGAGTTAGGACCGGGGATGCAGAGGACCCGAGGGGGACACGTGACAGAACCGGGGCTGTGGATTGGGGCCGAGTTCATTTGGTTCATTCGGGAAAAATGTGTGTGGTGCCTTCTGTGGGCTGGGCCTGTGCTGGGGCTGGGTGTGAGGCTGCTGGCAGAGCCCCGCCCTCGGGGAGCAGCAGGCCAGGAGCAGGTGGGGCGCTGGGGGCGCTGGGGCCCTTCCTGGAAAATGTGAGTTTGGGTTTCTGTGCAGTGAGTTGGGGTGGCGTTCGGGAGGGGCAGGGCCCGATGCGTGGGCGACGTGAACAGTGGTGTCACGCGCTGGCCCCGGGCCGCAGTGCCACGGCGGTCCTCGTGCAAGGTTGGGCTGGTCGCGTTGCGGGGGACAGTGGGGGCCAGGGGACCCACAGACACGAGCCCGGAGTCTGAGTACAGCCAGGACCTGGGCCCACTCGGCGTCCTCGCTGGGAGGGGGTGTGACGGTAGGTGCCCTCTGCACCTGTGCAGGTGTGTGGCTAGAACGAGGCCCATCACGGGGTCTCACACGGTCTTGCTTGAGGGGGGCCTTGCTCTTCTCCCTGGTGGGCAGCCGTTGAAGGTTTTTTTGTTTGTTTGTTTTTGTTTTTTGCGGTACGCGGGCCTCTCACCGTTGTGGCCTCTCCCGTTGCGGAGCACAGGCTCCGGACGCGCAGGCCCAGCGGCCATGGCTCACGGGCCCAGCCGCTCTGCGGCACGTGGGATCCTCCGGGACCGGGGCACGAACCCGCGTCCCCTGCATCGGCAGGCGGACTCTCAACCGCTGCGCCACCAGGGAAGCCCGGTTTTTTTTTTTAATAGATATTTATTTGGTTGCACTGGGTCTCAGTTGCAGCTTGCGGGCTCCTTAGTTGCAGCACGTGGGCTCCTTAGTTGCGGCTCCCAGGCTCCTTAGTTGTGGCATGCAAACTCTTAGTTGCAGCATGCGAACTATTGGTTGTGGCATGTGAACTCTTAGTTGTGGCATGCATGTGGGATCTAGTTCCCCAACCAGGGATCAAACCTGGGCCCCCTGCATTGGGAGCGTGGAATCTTCCACCAGGGAAGTCCCCGTGACCAGATCTTCAGGGGGAACTGACCAAGGGCCGGGCAGGATGAGCTGGAGCTGCCAGGGACCCCCGGGCGGCGGCTACAGCAGATAGGCCTGGTCGTGAGGTCCAGGTGGGCCTCGCACCCCGAGACTTCTCTGAGAAGGAGGCTGTTGGCTCGGGCGTGTTGGGGGGCCCGGGTCCCAGCTCCCGGCACCGGGTGCCGGCAGCACGTGGGCTGAGTTGGGCCAGGGGGTGGGCACCTGGAGAGGACGCTGTGGCGGCTCTGCGTCCCCCGGAGCCTTTCCTCCCTCCCTCCCTCCCTGGCCAGTGGTGGCCGAGCTCTGGCCAGCTGGGCCTGTCGGTTACACAGCCCAGGGCCCGCAGCTCCGGCCTTCCACCCACAGCTCTGCCGGGGGAGGTGCCTGCTGGGACTGGCACCTGTCACTCAGTCGCTGTTGGCCCTGAGCACGGGTGACACGCCACCCTCAACATGCGGCTGGTGGGGCTTTCCTCCGGGGGCCTGGCCTCTGCAGCCGCCACCTCCACACCCTCCTTTCTCTGTCCTTCCTGGCAAGGTGGCATGGCCCGGGCGGGGTCACTGACCATCCCGCCTCCTGGACCGCACTGTCCCCAGGGTGTCCCTTTTGCTGCGTTCTCCCCCAGCTTTATTGAGACGTAAGTGCCACGCGTGTTGTGTGGTTTAAGGGGTGCACGTGAGGACTTGACATGTGGATTGTGACATGATCGCCCATGAGGCCCGTCACCGCCCCCTCACCTCACTAGTGCCTTTTGCTCCTGCACTTGATCACGGTGCTGTCTTCGCAGCGGCTCCTCTGCCCCCGGCAGGGTTCGGGCCACGCGCCTCGTCCAGGAACCCCGACGTCTCCAGGGCCAGTTGTGTTTCCGGCTTCTGAGGGGTCCGTCTTCCGTTTCTTGGTTTTCGGGGCGTGTCCCAGCTGTGTCATCTGTGTTGGGCACTGGGGCGTCCCCCGTTCTCCCTCGGCCACTCTCTGGCCAGTGATCACGGCTCCTCCGTGAACACCCGTTGTCCCTTGGCTGTTGGCACAGGTGCGTGCACGTGTGTGAGACCCTCGGTGCCCTGTGCTGCCTCTGGGGAGCTCTGGGGGGGCTGCCTGTCCTTTTTGCACCTGTTTTGGAGACGCTGGCTGTGGTCTGAAGTCAGCAGGCTCTCTCTGGATCTCCCCGCGCCCTTGTGCTCATGCAGCTCGCTTGCCCTTCCTGCAGTTCAGGGGGGTGGACACAAGGGGCAGCGCCCCGGGGCCTGAGTGGCTGCCCTTCTCCACCTCAGCTGACCTGTGGCTGCAGGGGTTCGGGCTTTAGTGGCCACTGGTCTGATGTTTCTGGTGAGAGGCCCTTCCAAACACCAGGAGGGCACGTGTCTTTTTACAGTAGCATAGTATCAAAAACAGCGCTTCTCACTTGGGGGGTCCTGCCCCCAAAGGACACTGGGCAATGTCTGGGGATGTCTGTATGTCACACTGAGAGGATCCTGGCATCAAGGGGGCAGGGCCAGGGGTGCTGTTCAACACCCCAGAGTGCCCGGGACGGCCCCAGTGTCAGCAGTGCTGCGGGGACCCTGGTCCAGAGGAAACCACGCAGGGCATGGCATTCTTGTGTGTCGCCTCCCCTCCCCCACCCCGCCCCCTGCAACGAGGGAGGAGTGCGTGGACCCCTCAGGGAGGTGTGGGGTCACATAGGGTCCTTGCCCCTCCTGCCTCAGAGCTGGGGTGGGGCCTTGGTGGGAGTGGGCGCCTGGCCTCTGGTTGATGTTGCAGCAGCGGTGGGATGGGAGGTGGCATTGGGGTAGTTACCACTCGGTAACAGAACCAGAGTCGTATTCTTTTATTCGTGAAAGGACCCAGGGCCTTGATGGAGGTCCTAGAAAGGGGCAGCTGCAGTGAGGCGGCCTCTGCTCTGTCTCCCCAGGTGGGCTCGGGCATCCGTGATCAGTTACTCAGACGTGGGTGGAGGGCCTCCTGCTGCAGGATAGTGTGGTCACTTCAGGCCGCTCGGAACCCATGTCTTCTCCAGGAGCTCCCGGGCAAGGAGGCGGGCAGCAGATGCCTGAGAGAGACCCCCTGAAAGGCAGCGGTGATGGGTCCCAGTGCAGAGGGGAGCTGCCTGCCTTGCGCCCACGGCACCGGTGGCTGTGAGCCGGATGGCGTGCAGGGCAGGACGCAGCTCATGCCCTTTGTTGGGGTGGGGGACGCAGGTGACTCTGAGACAGGGTGGGGAGGATGAGCCCAGGCGGGCTGGGGCGAGTCTGGGGGGTTCTGAGTCCCCAAGAGGGGGCCTGGGGGCTTCAGTGCATGGGTGAGTGGGGACCTGTGTTGGTTATCAAGTAGGGGTTTGAGGCCGTGCGTCCTTAGGCTACAGAAGTTCTCTCCTGCTGTAACTTAGTAGCTGAAAATAACACACAGGAAGATTCTCAGGGTCAGCAGTCTTGGGGGTTCTGCCTTGGGGTCCCTTAGGACGTTGTAGAGCACGAGCTAGCTGGCGCCGCCTCATCTGAAGGCCCGATGGGGCCGGAGAAGCCGCTTCCAGGGTGGCCCCTCATGTGGCTCCTGTCCACATGGGCCCTCAGGGACGGTGCTGCCCCCCCGGCCCCCGCGAAAGTCCTACAGAGGACGGGGAGCCCCGTGACTCGTCTTGGAAGCGACAGGCCATCCTTGGTCAGATTCTTTTTGTTGGAAGGGAGGCACTGAGTCCAGCCCGCCCTCCAGGAGGGGTCAGCCTCCCCCTCTGCATGGAAGACATCCCAGAGATTTGTGGGCACATTAAAGCCACTAAATTGCAGTCCCTGCACGTGGAGGTGGACAAAAGTGGGGATACGGGTTTGCCGCTTAGAGGGTGACAGGGCGGTGAGAGGCTGGAGCAGGAGAGGAGCCCTCCCCCACGCCGCAGTGCTGGTGCCGGGTGGGGCTGGCCGGCGGCACACGGAGCAGGTCAGCGCCGTAGGAAGACGCGTAGGAAGACGCGGCAGCCACGTGGCCCCGTTCAGGGGTTTCTGCTCTGATCCCTTGATCCCGGAGACAGAGCCTCCGTGCGCCCTTCTCTGAGGTGGGGCCTTGACACCTGACACCCGGAGGGTGGTGGGACAGAGAGGGGAGGGTCCCCGGGCACCCGCAGGGCCTCTGGGCTGACAGGGACATGGGCCTTGGGGCTGTTCATGGGCCTTGGGGCTGTTCATGGACCTTGGGGCTGTTCAAGCGCCAGAGTCACGCTTGGTCTCGGGGTGGCGTGAGGTTGGGTGGGTTACAGGTTCAGGGGCTGCTGGGGACTGTGGGGGGCACGGCACGGCCCCCTGCGAAGGCCCAGCGTGGCCTCGACGCAGATGCCAAACTCGTGCCCTGAAGGAAAGCTGTTCTGATCAGAACAGCCGTGGGTCGGCGGGACGTTGTCACACAAGGGCATGTGGGACAAGGGAGCTCGTCACGTGACCAGTTAAGGGGGTGGCGGCATCTGGGGGAGACACTTCACTGCTCCCGGCCTCCAGTTCCTTGGCTGCGGCCAGAGTTGAATTCAGACCCAAGTTGCCGCAGGTGCTGTGGCTGCTCCCTTCCCGTCCCTGCCCACGTTGTTGTCCCGACCTCCTCCGAGCCTCGGCTGCCCCTGTAGACAGGGTGTGCGTGGGAGGACGCGGCCCGCCCTGTTGTCCGGGCAGCAGCGGCTGGCCAGGCGCATCCCCACCTCGAGCCTCGTGGGCGGGACTCCGCGTGTTCGGGGCCCCTCGTGGGCGGGGCCTCTCGTGTGCAGGGTGCGGTGAGCCCACGGCTCGGGTCACGGGTCCGGTCCCGCTGGGTCTCACTGGGCCATTTGCAGGCACGGGCGAGAGCGGGAAGAGCACTTTCATCAAGCAGATGCGCATCATCCACGGGGCGGGCTACTCGGAGGAGGACAAGCGGGGCTTCACCAAGCTGGTGTACCAGAACATCTTCACCGCCATGCAGGCCATGATCCGGGCCATGGAGACCCTGAAGATCCTCTACAAGTGCGAGCAGAACAAGGTGAGGCCCCGGGTGGGAGCGCTGGGCACGGCTGTGCTGCTGGCAGCTGCTCGCAGCCCCGTCCTACAGTTGGCAGAGTGGGTCCTGGCCCCCTCTGAGGGCCAGCGTCCTACCAGGCACTCCACGCACTGTATCAGGCCCTCTGTGACCCCGGGGGGGTGGCACGTTCTCTTGTCTTCAGTAACAGCTTTATTGAGAAAATGTACATACCAAGTCACCCATTTAAAGTGTGCAATTCACTCATTTTTAACATATTCACAGAGTTGTGCAACCATTGCCTCTAATTCCATAACATTCTCATCACTCCAGAAAGAAACCCTGTCCCCACTGGCAGTCACCTCCCCTACCCCTAACCTGGCCCCTGACAACCAGGAATCCACTCCCTGTCTCTGTGGATCTGCCTGTTCTGGACGTTTCCCATCAATGGAATCACACCCTGTGTGTCTTTCTGTGTCTGGCTTCTCTCACTGAGCATCGTGGTCTCAGGGTCCGTCCATGTTGCAGCGAGTGTCAGTGCCTCTCTCCTCTTTGTGGCTGAGTGATGCTCAGTGTGTGGAGGGACACATGGTTTGTCCATCGTCCGTCGAGGGACACGTGGTTGTTTCCACTCTTCTGGCTCTCGCAGACATGCTGCTGGAACATTCGTGTGCAGGTTTTTGTTTGCACGCCTGTCCTGGTTTCTCCCGGGCGCGTCCCCAGCAGTGGAGGTGCGAGGTCCAGGGTAACTCTTGGTTTGCCTTCCAGAGGGGCTGCCTGCCTGCTGTCCGAGCGGCGTTGCCCCGGCCGTGCACCAGGGGCCTCTCTCTGGCGGCCTCCCTTGGCTTTGCTTTTGTGGATCTGTTTTCGGGGACTTCTCTTTCAACTCCAGCAGTTTGCCTGGGCTGGCACGTGGCACCATGTATTGGACCATGTATGTCCAACAGGGTTTAAATTAATCTGTTTACTTTGAGGCTTAAGAAGGCCAGTCAACCAGATTTCTGATATTGGCGTCTTCCTGCCTTGATGCCCGGTCCACGGGTCATCAGGAACCCTACAGGGCCCAGCACTGGGTCTGGGGCCCGGCCAGCCTGGCTGTGGGGCTGAGCATGTAGGGCCTGCTGGAGCCTCTCACACTCTGGTTCGTAGGATTGCTTGCAGCTGAGGCCCCTCAGAGTCCAGGCCCCACTTTAACCGTGGAAGTCCAGAGGCATCTGGAACAGGGATTGGCAGACTAAGGCCTGTCTCTGTAGGTGCAGCTTTGCTGGCATGGGCCACGCCCACTCGCTTACACGTCATCCGTGGTGGCTTTTGCTGCAGCAGCAGGGACAGCGTGCCCGTAGAAACAGACGTCTGGTCCCTGGCCTACATGCATTCGCAGTCGGGGGTTTTCTGGGGCTGGTGTCTGCTTCTCCAGGCCCGGATTGGGGGGCTGGGAGGGTGAGGCAGGGCTGAAGGACGCTGTTGTGCGGGGGCTGGGGCGGGAGAGCATCCCTGGGAGGCGACCGGTGGGTTCCAGAGCCTGGGCTGGGGCCCCCTTGTTCCTTGTTTGGGGTTCTGCCCAGCTGTGTCCCCTCCCCAGTCGCTCAGCCGTGTGGGTGGGACCATCCTGAGCATGGGCATGTGGAGCAGGCTGGAGGAGAGATAGGGGTCTCCTGGGAGCCTTCTGCCCCCGGTGGGGTGTGTGTGTGTGTGTGTGTGTGTGTGTGTGTGTGTGCGTGCGTGTGTAGGTGTGTGCGTGCGCGTGTGTGTATCTCTGGGGTGGTGTGTCTCAGTGAGGCTGTTTAGGAGTGGGTCTCTGAGCCATGTGGTCCAGGGTCGGTGTGGAGGCTCCATCCCAGGGGCATGAGTCATTGGACCACTGGACTGTTGTGATTAGCTCAGCCTCCCCTTCCTGGTGGGTTGCTCTGGTCCCCAGACCCCATCGCAGGCTGCACACGAGAGGACCTATGCCTTCAGAGATCCCGAGGATTTCAGGAGCTGTGTGCTTGGAATCGGGGGGCAGGTTCTTCTTAGGTCACAGCAGCTCTCTGTGCCTCGGTTTCCTCACCTGCAGCATGGGAACACAGGGGCAGCCAGTGGTGTTTGTTCCTCTGTCCTGTTTGGGTGCCCCGGCACCGAGGTGTGTGGCGGCCGGGTGGGCCCTGCTCCCGGGAGCTGCCTCCATCTGCATTTTCCTTTGGGGGCCTGGCACTGAGGGGCGATCGCTTCCGGTCGCCCTTGCGTCATCCTGACGCATGTTCATGGGAAACGGGAGTCAATGGTTCCGAGTCGGTTGCCGGGTGCTGGCGCTGAGTGTCCCGGCCTGCCCCTCCCCGCACAGGCCAACGCGCTCCTGATCCGGGAGGTGGACGTGGAGAAGGTCACCACCTTCGAGCACCGGTACGTGAGTGCCATCAAGACCCTGTGGAACGACCCCGGCATCCAGGAGTGCTACGACCGCCGGCGGGAGTACCAGCTCTCGGACTCCGCCAAGTAGTGAGTGGGGCCGGGCCGGGCCTGGGCGGAGGAGGGTCTGCGCGGCCTCATTAGCCGTGACGGGGCGGTTTCCCCACAGGG